ACCTCATCTGCATGGACCAAGTACTGCTCACCTAAGCGCGTCAGACCATGGGTTTGGCAGGATCGTAGGATTGCATCGACGCAAGGACGTGCTCCTCCTCCACACCACATCACCCGCAACATCACAACTTCCCATCCCAACACCTCGAGGACGCAACACCCAAGCAAATTAAACAACCCATCGGCCTCACTTAGAGCAGCCGCGCTGACCGCCCGTTCCCTCGCCGCCCTGTGCCACGCCGACGCGCTCCGGCGCGCCAGGGAAGACGCCCTATCACGGACAAGATGTAAGTTTTTCCCCTCCGCGAATGGGGATGCAAGCTTTTCGGGAGAAGAAATTATACGTTGGCTGCTGCGATGGAGAATGCTGTGCGGTGTGTGGAAGGCCATTTGGAATTTGAATTTGTATGGGGGCGGATAGATCCTTTCTTGGGGCGGAGGTTGGTGGATTGGACCAGAGTGCAAAAAGGAGGCAGAAACTGATAAAGCTGGCGTAAATACGCGCGTCTTAAGGGGCGTGATCGCAAAATGGCACGGAGCGGTGGGCTACTCATACCCTCCCCGTGCTCCGCTTCCGCCTCGCCATCTCATTTCCAGAGTGTTCCAGAGAGCGGATCCAGAGAGTGCTAGGGTTTTCTCTCTCTCCCGGCGGCGAGGGCGATGTCGATGGCGGCGGCGGCGACGAGGGCCCCGGGCAGGGCGGCGGCGCGGTTCGTGCAGGCCAGGCTCCGCTCCTCCGGCAAGGTGCTCAGCGAGGAGGAGCGGGCCGCCGAGAACGTCTATATCAAGGTATGATCCCCCCCCTTCCCCGCTCCGGCGCGAGATGGCTCCTCGTGGGCGCTATGCGGCCCCGCGGGTGTTTGGCTAGGGTAGGGTCGGCGGCGCCGGGGGGTTTCCGCCGGTCGCGTAGTCGTTTTCATTCCGCGTGCTTCCAGGAAGAAGACGGTGTTCGTGGTACGTGCCCCGCGCTGAATGGCGATTTGAATGGAGGGCAGGCGTTCAACACCGGCGGTGATTTGTTTGGTGGTGCTGAGCCCTGCGCAGGTTGCGGACAGAGGGTTCCCGGTTGGCTGCCCTCGTTGTGCTTGCTTGCGTTATGTCTCGGGTTCATGGTTGGTTGCTCGGTTATGTCCGTTGACGCAGTGTACCTCTTCTGTTTGTGTAGATTTGGGGAGATCTTTGCCCACTGGACTTACCCTCATGTGTTCATCGAATTGGATGGTTGTTGTGGTGACAAGTTTTAGGTGGTTTGCTGGTGGGGATTGATTCGAGGGAGTGCAAATCGTACTAGTATGCACCGGCAACAATCTGTCAATGTTAGCCTTTTGTGATTATGTGAATCTTACAAGTGCGGGGTAGTTGCTTAGTTATGCACATTGACATGATAGCTGTTCTGGTGGGGTAGTGGGGGAATTTGGGATCTCTGAGAACATTGGCTCTGAACTGATTTTATTTGCTCATCATGCTTTTTTACTATTGGAGCTTCGGTTGGATGGTTGCTGTGGTGTCAAGTTATAGGGTGTTCGGAATTGGGGATTGATCTTTGGTTGCACACATGGAAGTGCAATAATACTAGCACACACTGGCAACTAGTATGTGTCAATTTTGGCCTTCTGTGATCATGTGAACCTTCTGATGTAGCTTGGTTGCTCAGTTATGCCCACCGACACAATAGCTGTTCTGATGGGGATCTTTGCAAACTTGCCTCTGAACTGATTTTATATGTTCCATCATGCTTTTTCACTATTGAAGCTTCGTTTGATGGTTGCTATGATATGGCCATATGGGTTTTAGTTTGCTTGGAATTGGGGATTGATATTTGGGTATACAGATAGGAATTGCAAATAACTAGCAGTAGGCACTGGCTACTGGTAGGCATCGTGATATGTGTTGGTGCTATGTTTTTGAGGTTAAGTGAATCTTCTGCTATGTGTAGGAGTGTTTAATTCTCGCCACTGCGTGACCTGTTCCTTGAACCCTTTTCCTTTCTTTCATTTTGTGGTCCAGTTGGGCTATAATTTTTGCCGTGGCTGTTCTGAACTCGTCAGTTATGTTTATCATTTTTATTGTTCATCATGGGAATGCATAATTAGATGATTATGTTATAGGTTAGGTTCGCGGTGAGTAGAAAAATTCTGCCACTATGCTAGTTGCTTCTTTTGTGTGTTTTCTGTTTAGTCTCTTGAGAACCATTGTTATTTTGCTTCTTTTGTGTGTTTTCTGTTTAGTCTCCTGAGAACCATTGTTATTTCATTATTTCTGCAGAACACTAATAGAAACCATATGCTTGATAAAACACCTCATTGTTTCAAATAATGCTTGTCTTGTCATATGTAATCATTGAACTAGAACTGTTACCTTATTGGTAGTTAAATTGTTTATACTCAGCAGTGACATTGTTCGGAAATTACCATGTTCACATTGTAGTTATATATGTATGCCATTGTATATCCTGTGTTGAGTTGACAGATGAAGCACTAGACTTATCAGAAGTAGAATTCAGCTAGGAATCCTGGATAACAGTTGTACGGGTAGACATAATTGATATTTCTTTCTGCAGCACATTAATTAACCGTTGCTTGATGCACCCATTGCTTCAGATAATGCTTGTCTTACATATATAATCATAAGCATTGAATTGGATCTCTTACCTTATTAGCTGCTTCCAGTTGCAGTCTTGAACAATAAAATGTTTATCTCAGTCCCTAGGATTCCTAGTTGTAGTCTTTCAGCTGTAATCATTATTGCTTGGACTGTAGTATGTATGCTAATATATGTGTATGTATCAATTTCTATATGGTGTTATGCCCTGTTATCTCTGTTCAGTTGACGAATGAAGCACTAGGCTCATCCATAGTACAAGTTCAACTATGAACACTTGAAATTAGTCAGGAAATCCAGAAGCACCAGTTTTTCCTGTTTCTAACTCTTTGAGTCTGATATGAGCCATACTGTTGGGATAAGTGGTCTTTTGTACATGTGTTGACGCTTTGTTAATATAAAGCTATAGTGTTGGCATAAGTGGTCTTCTGTGTATGTGCTGATGCTTTGTTAATATAAAGCTATAGTGTTGGCATAAGTGGTCTTCTGTGTATGTGTTGATGCTTTGTTAATGCTTAATAACATGTCTGATGACCTATTTCTGGTCTGTTTATGCAGAAAATGGAGCAAGAGAAGCGGGAGAAGCTCGCACGCAAGGTATGTGAACACACAATTGCTTGAACCTCTCAACTGGGCATTGGTTGTTGATGTTATATTTCCATGATGTTTGTCTGCTCATGTTGCCATGTACAGCAAATTAGCATCCTTCTCTACAAAATTATATATGCCAAATGGATATGTATGTTTTAGCTTCCTAAGTTGAAATGCATTACCTGTTTGTATGTGCTCTGCGTGGTTCATGGATCTGACTAGAGATTTAAAGGCTTGTGATGTCATGCACAATTTATTAGCATCCTTATTAACAAAGTTATATATGTCCACTGGGGATACATGTGATTTAGCTTTCTAAGTTAAGATGCACTACTGTATATGTTCTGTGTTGGTTGTGAAACTGACAAGAGATGTAAAGTCTTTTGATGTTGTGTACAGCAAATTAGCATACTTGTTGGCAAAGTTATATATGTCCAATGTGCTAGCTTTCTAAGTTTAGATGCACTAGTTGTGTCTGTGTCATGAAGCTGACAAGAGAATTCCTGCGTTGCTTTGTATAGCAAACTACTCCCTCCGTCCCATAATGGAAGACGTTTTTCAACACTACAGTAGTGTCAAAAAATGTCTTACATTATGGGACGGAGGGAGTAGTATCCTTTTGGATGTGTTTGATTTTGAAACTGTGCACTAGTGTATATATTCTGTGTGGTTGGTGAAACTTACTGACAAGAGCATTAAATTCCAGCAGGGTCCCAGCACTGGAGAGCAAGCTCCGTCCACCCCAAGCGCTGCAGCAGGCGACGTGAACACTGGAGGCGCCGCTTCGACCGCGTCGGCGTCCGCAGCAGGCACGTCAACCGACAAGAACAGGAACTACGCCGTGCTGGCTGGCACCCTCGCCGGCCTGAGCGCCCTGGGCTGGTACCTCCTGTCCAAGCCCAAGAAGACGGAGGAGGTCGTCGACTGATTGGCCTGTCCTGCCCTGGTTTTTTACTTCCTTACTGCACATGGACCTGCGCGATGATGATGATGATGATAATAAGTTTCCGATGTCGCCGAACAGCCTTTCCTTTGCCTTGTTAGCTGCTTCCACAGAATCTGAGACTTGAGATGATGATGATGATGATGGTGGTGGTCTGTAGCGCAAGTTGTTTTTGCTACCTGTGGTTGGTCTGGTATGTTGGTGGTTAACGAGAGGGGCATCTTGGATGATGCGGTTTGGTCCCTTTGATATGGTTTTTCCGGTGAATTTTGTTGGAGTTGGCCAAAACATGGGCCACTAAATTACATTGCAAAACAGAAAACAAACCAGAATTCCTACAAGAGTTGGCCAAAACATGAGCCACTAAAATGCATTGCCGACGAACATGCTTCCATTTATCTGTGCTTCATTAAAATCATGAAGCAAAGTCGCACGCCATGTCTATACCTATACCTAATAATAATAAAGTCATCGGTGCTTCTGCCCACTGTCCGAAAATTACCATCGAAGTTGCTATAAATTACTAACTATGTCGCCCATAAGTGAGGAAAATGATTCCTTTTTTTCTTTCCGATCCGTTTCTTATATCATGATACTCTCATATATCACAAGGGCGCCGAGGCATCGGAATGGCTAATACCCCAGTCTCTCTTCCTTTTATCTGTGATTTTCTCTTTTAGCAAGCGCCATTCAACCTCCCTGCATACGTTCATGAGCCGGCCCATGTGCGAGCAGTGACGCCCCCTGTTGTTTTCATTTCATTTTTTGCCTTTTGTTCTTCTCATTTATTTATTTGTTTTTCTTCCTTAAAATTAGGTCATAATTTTTAAAATTTCAAAAAGTTGTGAGTTTTGGAAAAAAATGAGAAATCATAATTTTTTTGTGATTTTTAAAAGATGTTCGCATATTCTAAAAAAATCACAATTTCTAAAAGAATGTTCATTATTATAAAAATGATCATGTATTCAGAACATATTCGTGTTGGGGAACGTTGCAGAAAACAAAAATTTTCCTACGGTTTCACCAAGATCCATCTATGAGTTCATCTAGCAACGAGTGATCGGATTGCATCTACATACCTTTGTAGATCACGCGCGGAAGCGTTCAAAGAACAGGGATGAGGAAGTCGTACTCGACGTGATCCAAATCACCGGAGATCCTAGCGCCGAACGGACGGCACCTCCGTGTTCAACACACGTACGGTCAGCGTGATGTCTCCTCCTTCTTGATCCAGCAAGGGGGGGGGGGGAGGAGAGGTTGATGAAGATCCAGCAGCACAACGGCGTGGTGGTGGATGCAGGGGTCACCGCAGCAGGGCTTCGCCGTTCTACTGCGAGAGGGAGAGGTGTAGCAGGGGAGAGGGAGGCGCCAAGACTCAAGGGTCCGGCTGCCCCTCCCTCCCCCCCTTTATATAGGCTCCCCTAAGGGGGGCGCCGGCCCTAGGAGATGGGATCTCCTAGGAGGGGGGGCAAGGGGTGGAGTGCCCCCCAAGCCAGGTGGGGCGCCCCCCCACCCTAGGGTTCCCAACCCTAGGCGCATGGGGTGGGCCAAGGGGGGCGCACCAGCCCACTATGGGCTGGTTCCCCTCCCCACTTTGGCCCATGGGGCCCTCCGGGATGGGTGGCCCCACCCGGTGGACCCCCGGGACCCTTTCGGTGGTCCCGGTACAATACCGGTGACCCCCGAAACTCTCCCGATGGCCGAAACTGCACTTCCTATATATAATTCTTCACCTCCGGACCATTCCGGAACTCCTCGTGACGTCCGGGATCTCATCCGGGACTCCGAACAACTTTCGGGTTACTGCATATTATATCTCTATCTACAACCCTAGCGTCACCGAACCTTAAGTGTGTAGACCCTACGGGTTCAGGAGACATGTAGACATGACCGAGATGGCTCTCCGGTCAATAACCAACAACGGGATCTGGATACCCATGTTGGCTCCCACATGCTCCTCGATGATCTCATCGGATGAACCACGATGTCGAGGATTCAAGTAACCCCGTATACAATTCCCTTTGTCAATCGGTACGTTACTTGCCCGAGATTCGATTGTCGGTATCCCAATACCTCGTTCAATCTCGTTATCGGCAAGTCACTTTACTCGTACCATAATGCATAATCCCGTGACCAGACACTTGGTCACTTTAAGCTCATTATGATGATGCATTACCGAGTGGGCCCAGAGATACCTCTCCGTTATACGGAGTGACAAATCCTAGTCTTGATCCGTGTCAACCCAACAGACACTTTCGGAGATACCCATAGTATACCTTTATAGTCACCCAGTTATGTCGTGACGTTTGGTACACCCAAAGCAGTCCTACGGCATCCGGGAGTTACACGATCTCATGGTCTAAGGAAAAGATACTTGACATTGGAAAAACTCTAGCAAACGAACTATACGATCTTGTGCTATGTTTAGGATTGGGTCTTGTCCATCACATCATTCTCCTAATGATGTGATCTCGTTATCAATGACATCCAATATCCATAGTCAGGAAACCATGACTATCTGTTGATCAACGAGCTAGTCAACTAGAGGCTTACTAGGGACATGTTGGTGTCTATGTATTCACATATGTATTACGATTTGCGGATAATACAATTATAGCATGAATAAAAGACAATTATCATGAACAAGGAAATATAATAATAATCCTTTTATTATTGCCTCTAGGGCATATTTTCAACAGTCTCCCACTTGCACTAGAGTCAATAATCTAGTTACATTGTGATGAATCGAACACCCATGGAATTCTGGTGTTGATCATGTTTTGCTCTAGGGAGAGGTTTAGTCAATGGATCTGCTACATTCAGGTCCGTATGTACTTTACAAATATCTATGTCTCCATCTTGAACATTTTCACGAATGGAGTTGAAGCGACGCTTGATGTGCCTTGTCTTCTTGTGAAACCTGGGCTCCTTGGCAAGTGCAATAGCTCCAGTGTTGTCACAGAAGAGTTTGATCGGCCCCGACGCATTGGGTATGACTCCTAGGTCGGTGATGAACTCCTTCACCCAAATTGCTTCATGCGCTGCCTCTGAGGCTGCCATGTACTCCGCTTCACATGTAGATCCCGCCACGACGCTCTGCTTGCAACTGCACCAGCTTACTGCCCCGCCATTCAAAATATACACGTATCCGGTTTGTGACTTAGAGTCATCCAGATCTGTGTCGAAGCTAGCGTCGACGTAACCCTTTACGACGAGCTCTTCGTCACCTCCATAAACGAGAAACATTTCCTTAGTCCTTTTCAGGTACTTCAGGATATTCTTGACCGCTGTCCAGTGTTCCTTGCTGGGATTACTTTGGTACCTACCTACCAAACTTACGGCAAGGTTTACATCAGGTCTGGTACACAGCATGGCATACATAATAGAACCTATGGCTGAGGCATAGGGGATGAAACTCATCTCTTCTATATCTTCTGCCGTGGTCGGACATTGAGCTGAACTCAATTTCACACCTTGCAACATAGGCAAGAACCCCTTCTTAGACTGATCCATATTGAACTTCTTCAATATCTTATCAAGGTATGTGCTTTGTGAAAGACCTATGAGGCGTCTTGATCTATCTCTATAGATCTTGATGCCTAATATATAAGCAACTTCTCCAAGGTCCTTCATTGAAAAACTCTTATTCAAGTAGGCCTTAATGCTGTCCAAAAGCTCTATATCATTTCCCATCAAAAGTATGTCATCTACATATAATATGAGAAATGCTACAGAGCTCCCACTCACTTTCTTGTAAACACAGGCTTCTCCATAAGTCTGCATAAACTCAAACGCTTTGATCATCTCATCAAAGCGAATGTTCCAACTCCGAGATGCTTGCACCAGCCCATAAATCGAGCGTTGGAGCTTGCACACCTTGTCAGCATTCTTAGGATCGACAAAACCTTTCGACTGCATCATATACAATTCTTCCTTAAGGTAACCATTAAGGAATGCCGTTTTGACGTCCATTTGCCATATCTCATAATCATAGAATGCGGCAATTGCTAACATGATTCGGACGGACTTCAGCTTCGCTACCGGTGAGAAAGTCTCATCGTAGTCAACCCCTTGAACTTGTCGATAACCCTTAGCGACAAGCCGAGCTTTATAGATGGTCACATTACCATCCGCGTCTGTCTTCTTCTTAAAGATCCATTTATTTTCTATGGCTCGCCGCTCAATGGGCAAGTCAGTCAAAGTCCACACTTCGTTTTCATACATGGATCCTATCTCGGATTTCATGGCTTCCAGCCATTTATTGGAATCTGGGCCCGCCATCGCTTCTTCATAGTTCGAAGGTTCAGCGTTGTCTAACAACATGATTTCCAAGACAGGGTTGCCGTACCACTCTGGTGCGGAACGTGTCCTTGTGGACCTACGAAGTTCAGTAGCAACTTGATCTGAAGTTTCATGATCATCATCATTAACTTCCTCTCTAGTCGGTGCAGGCACCTCAGGAACATTTTCTTGAGTTGCGCCATTTTCCGGTTCAAGAGGTAATACTTCATCAAGTTCTACTTTCCTCCCACTTACTTCTTTCGAGAGAAACTCCTTCTCTAGAAAGGATCCATTCTTGGCAACAAAGATCTTGCCTTCGGATCTGAGGTAGAAGGTATACCCAATAGTTTCTTTAGGGTATCCTATGAAGACACATTTTTCCAACTTGGGTTCGAGCTTTTCAAGTTGAAGTTTCTTGACATAAGCATCGCATCCCCAAACTTTTAGAAACGACAGCTTAGGTTTCTTCCCAAACCATAACTCAAACGGTGTAGTCTCAACGGATTTTGACGGAGCCCTATTTAAAGTGAATGCGATAGTCTCTAAAGCATAGCCCCAAAAAGATAGCGGTAAATCGGTAAGAGACATCATAGATCGCACCATATCTAATAGAGTGCGATTATGACGTTCGGACACACCATTACGCTGAGGTGTTCCAGGCGGCGTGAGTTGTGAAACTATTCCACATTTTCTTAAGTGTGTGC